TTCAGAGGGTCCAGATCCTAGCGGTTCAGGCCAGCCTTTTTCTGTTCCACTTTTATTAGTACGTTTGCCATACATAATGTGCATCTTCATTGTAGGGAGTTAGTACATGTGCACAACACATTTCAACCCCCTTTATTCCTTTTCTCCATCCCCCTTTAACTTTTCCAGCATCAGATTCATTTGTTTATCTTATAAAAACTTATAAAGTTAATTATCATATACACAGGCTGAAAACCAGACTAGTAGACCAAAAAATGTATAAAACATTTAAGATAATTGCACTAAATCAAGGTACAGTTTGTCCACCCTGGATTACAATGCCTTTTCTTCCTTTTTTCCCCCCTATTATCTGTCCTCCATTTTTATCTTATATCTGTGGTTTTCATACATGAGAAACGATGGGATATTTAAGCTTGTGTGTGAATTACTTCACTTGTGGCCTCAAGGTGCATCCATTTTCTACAAGTGACTCAAGTTCATCCTTCTTCATGGCAGACTAGTACTCCATTGTGTATAAATAACACTTTTTTTATTCATTGATCTTTTGAAGGATATAAAGGTGGTTTCCAAGATTTAGGCATTATGAATTGTGCTGCTATAAACATAGGTGTATGTACATCACTGTGGTATTATGTCTTTAACTCTTTGGGGAACATACCTAGCAGGGTAGTAGCTGGGTCAAGTGGAATTTCTACTTTTAGAGTTTTTAAAGGAATCTTCATATTGATTTCCATAATGGTTGCAATATGGGAATGATATAGGACTTCCAAGCATTATAATTCTCAACTTATTAGATACACTGGGTTTGTATTCCCCTAAATCAAAGATGAATTCTAAGGAACAAAAGAGGGTGACATTATGAAATATTTCAGAGATAGATAGCTTCTGCCTGAGAGAGACAGAAGGGGACCCAGAGGGTCGGTTGCCAAGGACCCACTTTTCAGGCAGAGTTTCATAGCGCACAGTCCCGTGGGTGCAACGTGGGCTACGGCTCTGATCAACCAATAAGTACAGCCACTTGGGTAACTTGATCCAGTGAAGGTCACATAATGAGCACACAGTGAAAGAACAAAGAACTTTTCAGGAAGGGATGAGTTCCAGGGTCTTGACCACCCACCATGGTGGCCGCTGTCTCTCTAAACTTGATTAGGGCTGCTGTTAGCACTGACCTTAGGCCTGGCCATTTCATCTTTATCTTGCAGCCTAGCTCCAACAGATGCACTGCTGGCCACAGTTGTGCTTTCATCTTTGCACTCTCTGGAGGGCCCAGCCCTATCTGACTGCCTATAATAGTTCCCCCTAAGTTAGCTCTCTGTAATAGTTGTATCTATTTACACTCCCACCAAAAGCAAGGAAAGGTTCCTTTCTCCCACAGCCTCACCAGCACTTGGTATTGGTTCATTTCTTGATGTTAGCAATTCTTTCTAAAGGGAGATGGAATCTCAGCATCATTTTAATATGCTTATCTCAAATATCCAGTGATGTTGAATATTTTTACATGTATTTCTTGGCTGTTTGTCCTTCATCTGAGAAGTGTCTATTCATTTCTGATGCCCATTTTTATTTATTTTTCATTTATGTATTTAATATAGGGTCTCACTACATGGCTCAGACTCATAGTGATTCTCCTGTTTTCAGCCTCCCCAGCACTGAGATTACAGGCATGTGTCACCATGCCTGGACTTAGTCCTTGACCCAGCGCACTCTGGGGGTGGGGCAAGCGGGGCATGTGGGACTAAGGATCAAACCCTGGTCCCTGCACTTGCCAAAGCAGGTTCTTAATCCTCTGAGCTATCTCACTGGCCCTTCAGATGCCCATTTTTAATTGGGCCTTTAGAGATAACGACAGTTTCAACAGAGGAGGGTTGCAGATCAAGAGAGCTTCAGGATGAGGTGATGCAAGAAAGTGAGGACCTGGTCCAGCAGCTGTGGCTATTTCTCTTAAGAAGGGGACAGATGTTTGAACAATAGGGGAGGCATGAAAGGATATTATGGCTAATAGGAGAGTAAGTCTACTGGAGAACATTGGTAATATTTCCAGGAAGTATCAGGGGTGATAGGTAAAGGGTTGGCTGATAGGACTTCTCTTGGCAATGCTCATCTGTTTGGTGTGGGCAGAGAAATGTAGATACCTGTATTACTGCTCTGAAACTGGCTCCTTAAAGCCATTAGTGGAGTCAGTCTTCACTGTAGTCAAAGATTGCATAATGCATAACAAAACAGACACTCTTTCCTTGAGTTTATTTAACCCACCCTTACTAGTTTTTCCTTTTCTTTGTGGCCACTTCCCAGCTTCCTCTGATAGCATATCCTCTTTCAGCCTGTAAGTGTTTTGAGAGAGCTTAGAGGACAGCATGAGTAAGCTGAACCACATGTCCTGACTTCCTTGTACTTGTATTTTACCAGGAGAAACAGACAATCAAAGCACAATTGCATAATGCAACGTTTAATTTTAGTTGCAATCAGGAGTGCCTACCAAGGAGCTTGCAAAGCATCGAAAAAGTGCTCTGCGAGAAGCCCCAACTTGGCCTGGTGCCCTCTTACAGGAAATTTACCAGCATAGCACTTTTCAGGGAGCGGGCACACAACAACTACTTGCTGAGTCCATGAAAGACCAAAGAGAAAGAAAAAAATAGTAACTTTTCAACTATGAGTTCAATACTTGCTCTGAAAGCATAAGTCTTCACCTTGTTTTTTTAAAACAGTTTTTTAAAATGACAAGAAACAGCACACCTGGAATAACAGCAAAGCCTTGTCCTTAGGAAAGGAAAACCACATTTACACAAAAGGATGAATGGCTGAATCTCAGATATAATTCATAGCAAAATCCGAGCTGAGGTACACCTCAATTCATTACGAGAGAAGTGGAGTTTGGGAAGAGAAAGATCTGCTTACAACACAAAAAGATTTTAGTGATCTCTTATCCAATAATATTCCTTAAGGAGCTCAAAATTTGGAGCCGGGGAGATGGCTCAGTGGAATAAGCGCTTCCCTCGCAAGCGCAAGGGCCTGAGTTCAATCCCAGTTCCGCAAAAAAAAAAAAAAAAAAGAAGAAGCTCAAAATTTAAAGATAGAAAAATTAATGTCACAACAATCATATATACAAAGAAATATGAAAAGACACTACCAACCTTTAAATTAGACTTTTTCCAGAATATTTCTACTTAAGACACAAGTCTTGCATTGTCAGTGGTTTGGGAAGAGATTATATGTAAGTGAAAATGTCTCAGGCCAAGGAAGGGGTCCCAAGCAAGTGTGGTTTTGGAAAGGTGTCTCTAAATCAGAGATTAGCCTGTGGT